CGGTTAGGCCCCACCGGCGGAGCCCGGGCTGCAGCGGGTGCTGGAGGCGGGGGGGGGGGTGTCCCGGTGGGGCCGGGATGGCTGAGCTGTGCAGCGAAGAGCTGCTGAGGCCGGCCCTCCATGGGGAGAGGGTCCTTCCCCTCCTCCCCGCCGCTCCCCCACACCAAGGGAGGAGTGGGGAGGGTCCAGGGGCTGCTCCAGACCCTTGCACCCCCACCCCGGGAGCACCCTGACAGACTTCTGCTCGCACAGATCTCCCCTGCCTGCAGCAGGCAGGGCGTTTGTCTCCCTTCTATGTGGCCAGGCTGGGTCTGGCAGCCGCTGGGTTCCACGTGGGTTCTTCCCGTTGCTGCTCCGTTCCCAGTTCCACGAGGAAACCGGGAAGCTAGCGTGCAGGAAGAACTAACTGGAATCCCCCCCTCCCTACCAGCGCCTCGACGAGCGGGGGGCTTCCCAGTTCTGCTGCCCCAGACTTATGGGGAGGCTTTGTCACCACTGTCGCTATCCCGTTTCCAGGGCTGTACGGGAGAGATGGCATCCTGCCGGCCCGCAAAGTGTTACGCCTCAGCGGGAAGGGGCTATGGGAACAACTATGGGATTTTCCCACCTTGTTGTGGCTCAGTCCCCGCCTGGGTTTGGATACGGAGCTGGGGATGGAGCTGCTCTGCCTCCTCGGCGTCCTCGCCTCCTTCAGCGCCTTGCTGTTCGAGCCACTGCGGGACAGCCTGCTCTTCACCCTGCTGTGGGTGCTCTATCTCTCGCTCTACCAGGTATGAGATCGGTTGGGCTTGTGGTGCCCTAGAGGGGTCAGAGCTGGGACCTAGGAGGGTGAGGGGGTGATGTTCTTGCGTTAGCATCATCCTACAAGCTCCTGACATGCTCAGCTTCCCTCATGGCACTGGGGGAAGGTGCTGGCAGTTCCCTGGCTCGTGGAGGGGAGGTACAACCCCATCCTTGTGCTGGTTCTTGGTGCCTTCCCTGGGATAAAACCCTCCCAGACTTGCCTGCAAAGCCAATTCCCACACCTCTGGCACCTGCCCGCCCACAGTCTTGCCAAGCCCTCCTGGGGCCCTTGTCCCACTCGCCAAGCCCTTTCCCCGTGTCCCGTGAGAGCTCTGTGCCCCCCAGCCATGAATCCACCCTCCTGAGCCGTTTGCGCTCGATGCCGGCGCTGGCAGCTTGGTGCAGAGGAGCTCGGGTGAGTCAGAGCCTGCTAGTGCAAGCCACGGCAGGAGGAGGGTTTCTCTTCCCTCTGAAACCAGGGGAATTAAAGAGGAAAAACCCGCCTGTGCTTGGAGATCCTTCTCGGCCTGGGTGGCTGTTACCCCAGGCAGGAGCTCTCCTGCCCTGCCAGAAGGCAGCCCGGGGGGCTGGCAGTGTCGGCAGCCCTCACTGGTCCCTCCTGCCAGGGTTCAGGCTGTGTCCAGCACCGGTGGCTGTAGGGAACAGTGTTGAGAGGCTGGAAAAGTGAGGTGACAGCCATGGGAGTAGGGTTTCTCCCGTGCTGGGGGGGGGGGGCTACCCTGTGGCACTGTTACCCCATCCCCTTTGTCCTGCTCACGGTCTCACTGGCATGCAGCCGTGCCCCACGGGGAGCCGTTGTGAGCAGCTCCCCTCGCATGGGCAGCCCTGCTGAGCTGTGTGGCCCGTGTTTGGGGCCCAAGGGGGAGGCAGGGTGGGAGCCAGGGCTCTGAAGTGACTCACTGCCTCGGCAGGGAGAGGAAGCAGCATTCGCAGCTTTGCGGGGCCTGGGAGCCCTGGGTGACTCCCACCCACAGGGACTCTTGTTTCCCAGCACATGGCTGCGGGGCTGCTGTGCCATGCCACAGCGTGTACGGCTCTGCCTCCTCCCAGCCCCGTGTGCCAGCCCGGCCTTCCTCTCCTCGCTCCCTTTTAAGGTGATGCTGGAGAGAAAGTCCCTGCTCCTCCCCAGCACCGGTCTCCCTCCCCTCCAGCCCTCTGCCCTGCCGCCAGCTGGGTCTGCAGCCTGGTCTGCTGTCAAGCACCACTCTGGGCCCAGCTGCAGGCAGGAGGGACAGTGCCCAGGGCTGGGAGCACCCAGGCAGCAAGGCAGCACAGAGCAGCACTCCCCTGCAGCCCCCCAGCCCTGGCCTGGTGCCTTCCTCCACCTTGCGATTGATGCTGCTGTGCCTGGGGCATAGCCCTGGACACCGGAGCAGTTCCAGGCTGTGGTTCCCGGCACAGCCGCCTCCCCGGCACACCTAACTGGGGAGCATCCTCCTTCTCTGCCCCCAGCAGTGCCTTTGTGGCATCTTGGTGCTGCTGCTCTCAGCAGCAAGTTGAGGCCGCTGCTCTGCTCCTTGGGTTTGGCCTGTAGCCCAGTCGTGGGAAAGGAGCTGCCAGCGGCACCAAGGGGGAGCCAGGAGGGATCTGTAGCCGCCCCTCGGCCCTTCTGCCCGCTCCCTGCAGGGTGGGTGTGGGGAAGGGAGAGGGGTCCAAACCTGTGCCCTGCTCACTGCTCTGCTCCCTCTCTCTGCAGGTGGGGCAGGTCTTCCTCTACTTCCAATGGTAAGTCAGCCCTGCATCCGCGCTTCCAGCACACCTGCCCTGGGCAGGGGGCTGCTGCAGGGGCTCTATGCGGACAGAGCTGTCCTGTCCTGACTTCGACTGGCCCACGGCTTGCCCAAACCCCAGGGCAGGGAGGTTTGGGTGCGGAGAGCTGTCCCCTCTGCGGGAAGCAGCGGCAGGCCCCTTGGCACCCTGGGGTCTCAGTGCCAGCACAGCTGGGACGGGAGCTGGCTGCCCCAAGGGGTCTGTGGACCCAGGGTGGCAGTGGAGGACAGCGGTGTTCCCCACAGGGATAGCCTCCTGCTGGAAGTGGGATTCCTGGCGGTGCTGGTGGCCCCCCTGCGCCTGCTGAAGTGGCGGTCCACGGCCTGGCGTGCCCATGACAGCATCACCTTCTGGCTGGTGCGCTGGCTCCTCTTCCGGCTGATGTTCGCCTCTGGTGTGGTGAAACTGACCAGCCGCTGCCCCACCTGGTGGGGGCTCACAGGTGAGGGGTGCCGCGGGTTGTGGGGTGTCACAGGCTTTGGGGCACCCCTCCCAGGCAGGGAGAGCGGGGGCATTTCCCCAAGCCTCAGGCTGGGCCTCCTGTGCCCCGTAGGCAGCTGCAGGGCTCTGGGCAGCTCCTGCCAGCACCTCTCCCGTGTTCGGCACAGCTCTGCGATGGCTCTGCCTGCTCCGACTTGTGTCCCCACTCCCCTCTCTGCACCTCTGACCCCTCCTGTCCCCCTCCAGCTCTCACCTATCACTACGAGACCCAGTGCATCCCCACGCCAGGTGCCTGGTTTGCCCACCAGCTGCCCGTCTGGTTCCAGAAGTTCAGTGTGGTGGCCACCTATGTCATCGAGATTGCCATCCCACTTCTCTTCTTCGCACCCATCCGCCGCCTCCGGCTCTTTGCCTTCTACAGCCAGGTGGGTGGGCAGAGCCGGACCCCCCCCTTCCTGCCTCTCCTGCCGCCAGGTGCTGTGGGGCTCCCCAGGGGCAGGGGGACCGGCTTAGTCTGTGGGCAGGACAGGCTCCTTGCTCTGCGGGCCCTTGCGGGCAGGACTACCCTGGGTGCTGGGAGCTGGGCATGCACTGGGGTGGTCCCCCAGGCAGTCAGCTCAGCACTGTGACACCCCAGCCCTGCCTTCGCTCCTCCCCAGGTCCTGCTGCAGGTCCTCATCATCCTCACGGGTAACTACAACTTCTTCAACATGCTCACCATTGTCCTGGCCTTCTCTCTGCTGGATGAGGAGCACGTGGGGCACTGGCTGGGGCGCAGCAAGAAGAGGCATGCCAGCAGTGAGTCCCTGGAAGCCCTGTTTTGGTGGGGTGGGGTCTGGTTTCTGCTGTGCCTGGGGTGGGGAGGGGACAGGCCACCATCGCTGACCACCCCTGTCCGGGTGTGACTGCGAGAGGCAGCGTTCTGGCCACCTGCAGCTGCCCTCTGGCTCAGTGCTGTGAGAGCTGCTGCCAGCATGGCCGCCTCGCCTGCCCCTGGGGTGGGGGTCTGTGCCCGTGGGGTGCTCAAGCTGGGTCCCCCATGAAGCAGCATGTTGGCTTCTGCCGTGGGATGTGCTCAGCGCTGCCCGCTCGCCCTCTCCCTGCCTGGACTCAGGGTGTGTTTTGTGCCCCTCCGTGCCACGGTGGGTTGGGCTCGCTGAGCCCCCGGCGTTTAGCAGCCCTGCTCTGTCGCAGCCTGGCCCCCCAGCCTGCGGTCCCTCCTCTCCACCCTGCTGGAGATGAGCACCTATGGCTTCCTGCTCTACTGGAGCATCCAGTACTTCAGCCTGGAGATTAACTGGGAGAAGAGGCTGCTGGACTCCAAAGTGGGTACGTCACAGCCAGGCCCACGGGGGCTGCCAGCCCGTTGTCCCCACGGCCCAGTGGCAGCGCCTGGGCTCCTGCACCCCCAGTGGCTCCTGGGGCAGGAGGGGCTCCTCTCTGACCCTGTGGGTTTTCCTTCACTCCAGCCTTCACCTATCACGAGTTCACAACGTGGCTGCGGGCAGTGACCCTGCCACTGGTGGGGCTGGGCTTCCTCTCGCTCTCCTGGGAGATCCTCTCTGCCATGTACAGGTGCGTGACGGGGGGTGACAGAGTCAGTTCCCCCTGCCGGGCCTCGTAGCTCTGCCATGACAGCTGAGCAGGAACGGGGCAGCCGGTGTGGGTGGCCTGGTGCCACTCCTGAGGGTGTGATTCGTGCATGGAGGGATGCTTGGATCTTGTGGGCACTGGGGGAGCTGGTGTGGGGTGCTTGGAGCCAGGCGGAGGGCTGGACCCTGGGGCTGTGTGGGGTGGGTGCCCGGTTCGGGGGTGCTGGGTGAGATAGGAGGGATTTTCCTCTGCAGCACTGGAGTGGGGCTTAGCCCTCCACCGCTTTGGGCACAGCATGGGTGGCTCTGAACCCTGCAGATGACAGCCAGAGCTCCAGACTGCAGTGCTGTGCAGCTCTGATCTGTTTCTCCCCCACACCTTGCAGGTGTGCCTGCGTCCGCGGCTGCTTCTGGAAGCTCTGGGCCATGCTGCAGTGGGCCGTCTTCGCCACAGCAACCATGGGGATGTTTGCCATCAGCTTGGTGAGTGAGTGGGAAGTGTCTGGGGAGGGCAGGAGACAGCAGAGCCTGCATTTGTCTTGGTGTATGGGGAGCTGGAAACTTGGCCTGGGCCCCCCAGGCTGCTCCTAGCCGTGGTGACAGAGCCACTCTCTGCTACTCCCTAGGTGCCCTTCACCTACATTGACTATGAGTCCAACGGCAAGCTGTGGCCCGGCATCCACCAGATGTTCAACGCGGTCGAACGCTTCCAGGTGGTGAACTCCTATGGGCTCTTCCGCAGGATGACGGGCGTCGGGGGGCGGCCCGAGGTGGTGCTGGAGGGCAGCTACGACAAGCAGACCTGGATGGTGAGCCACCATTTCATAGAATCACAGAATCATTTAGGTTGGAAAAGACCATTAAGATCATTGAGTCTGATTGTAAATCTAGCACTGCCAAGTCCACCGCTAACCCATGTCCCTAGGCGTCACACCTACATGTCTTTTAAATACTTCCAGGCATGGTGACTCCACCACTTCCCTGGGCAGCCTGTGCCAGTGCTTCACAACCCTTTCAGTGAATAAATTTTTCCTAATATCCAATCTAAATCTCCCCTGGCACAATTTGAGGCTGTTTACTCTCATCCTATCACTTGTTACTTGGGAGAAGAGATTGACCCCCACCTCTCTACAGCATCCTTTCAGGTAGTTGTAGAGAGTGATAAGGTCTCCCCTCAGCCTCCTTTTCTCCAGGCTGAACAAGCCCAGTTCCCTCAGCTGCTCCTCATAAGACTTGTGCTCTAGACCCTACACCAGCTTCGTTGCCCTTCTCTGGACATACTCCAGCATCTCAATGTCTCTCTTGTAGTGAGAGGCCCAAAACTGAACACAGTATTTGAGGTGCAGCCTCACCAGTGCTGAGTACAGGGGAACAATCACTTCCCTGGTCCTGCTGGCCACACTATTTCTGACACAAGCCAGGATGCTGTTGGCCACCTGGGCACACTGCCAGCTCCTATTCAGCTGGCTGTCAACCAACACCCCCAGGTCTTTTTTTGCCAGGCAGCTTTCCAGCCCCTCTTCCCCAAGCTTGTAGTGCTGCACGGGGTTGTTGTGACCCAAGTGCAGGACCCAGCACTTGGCCTTGTTGAATCAAGTTCGACAATCACATTTGGCGCCGAAGGGGCTGTGCGGGAGCTGCGGCTGGTTGGGTAGGGCAGCTGGGGACAGGCACTGAGGAATGGACTCCAGTGGAGCCAAGCATCCCTGTCCTGCTGGCTTGGTCCCCTCTGGGGCACCCAGCCGTCCCCCATGGGCTTTGTCTCTCTGGAAGGAGCTGGTAACCCCAGGAGGTGAGGGGGGGTGAGTCTGGGGGAGCTCTGCCCCCAGGATGGTGGAGCTGGTGGAGGTCCAGGTCTGACCCCCACATGCCAGTCCCCACTGCTGGATGCCCCCCCCAGCCCACTCTGTTCCCTGCCCCACAGGAGATTGAGTTCATGTACAAGCCCGGGAACGTCAGCGCGGCCCCCGCCGTGGTCACCCCACACCAGCCCCGCCTCGACTGGCAGATGTGGTTCGCAGCCCTGGCCCACCACAGCAGCAGCCCCTGGTTCACCAGCTTCGTCTACCGCCTGCTGCAGGGCAAGAAGGACGGTGAGCGGGGCTGGGGACAGGTCGTGCTGGGGGCTCCCGGGGCCCAGTGCTGTAGCAGAGGCAGCCCAAGGCCCCGTACCTGGCAGTTGTGCCACAGCAAGGACCTCCGTCCTGCGCAGTGGCAGGGATGGAGGGGGGGCTGCCTGGGCTGAGCCCCCTGGAGCAGCAGGCAGGGCTGCGTCCCACCCTGTCTGGGGGCTGTTGCTGGCCCCCTGCAGCAGGTCTGTGTCCCAGGCCCTTTCCTGGGGATTTGGGGCCCCTGGGCTCCAGCCCTGCAGCGGTTTGGGGTGTCCCCGCAGCAAGGGGCATGGGATCCTGGCGGGGGCTAACGCTGTGTCTCTGGCAGTGATCCGCCTGGTGCAGGTCGACGAGTCCCGGTACCCCTTCAGCGCTCAGCCCCCTGTCTACATCCGCGCGCAGCTCTACAAGTACTGGTTCACCGGCAGCGCCGAGGGCAGGTGAGCAGCACCAGGATGGGTGTGCCAGTGCCTGCACCCCCTCTGCAGCCATGCTTTGCTCCGCGAAGCTGATGTGACACCACATCGACACGCAGATGGCGCGGGTGTGTGTGCTGGCTGTGTTCAGGCAGCTCGGGGAGGGGGCGTGGGGTGGGAGGGCTGAATTTGGGAGCTGCTTCTCACCTGGTTAATTGGCTCATTAACTCGGCAGCTCATCAGTGCCCTGAGCTCTGCTTTGGCAAGGCTGGGTCGCTGCGTGGGGGGAGGCAGGAGCATGGCCTGCTCCTGCCTTGTGGGCAGAGCTGCCCTGCTCCTGCCTGGGCTGGCGGGGCGGAGGGCTGGGCGCTGAGCTCTCCTGTCCTGCAGCGAGGGGCCTGCGCCGTGGTGGCGGCGGCAGCACGTGCAGGAGTTCTTCCCCACCGTCTCCTTGGGCGACCCCACACTGGAGAGCCTGCTCAACCAGCACGGGCTGAAGGTAAGGCATTGCGCCATGGCCACTCCACGGTCCCGGCCGAGGGGCAGCCCTGACACCCCTCTTCCCCTCGCCCCGCAGGACAAGATGTCGCTGAAGCGCTCGGCGGACGCCTTCCTTCCCTGGCTGCTGCAGTCCCTCCGCCAGCTCAGCCGCCCCTTCTCCGGCCCTGCCATCCTCTGGTCCCTGTACCTCGTGGTGGCCACTGTCTACCTCCTGCGAGCCCTGGGCCGCCGGCCCCGGGGGGGTGCACCCCCCGCCCGCCACAAAGGCCCCAGGCGGGGGGACCCTGCCGACCGGGGGGGCGGCGAGAAGAATGGGCAGGTGCGGAGGAAGGAGGCAAAAGAGACGGAGGAGAAAGGCGAGGGCCGGACCCGGGGGGCAGCTGACGGCCACGGTGACAGCCTCCGTGGCACCAAGAAGAAGAAGTAGAGCCTGGAGCCGCTGGTCCAGGCCCCGTCTTCCACCCATGGACTGATGGAGCTGCCTGTGGGCCCCGCTGCCTCCCCTCATCCCGGCTGTCTGCCCCTGCCTGCCTCCCTGGCATGGGGGTCCCTGGCTGGGGTGCAAGCAGGCCCCCCCACCCCTGCTGTCACGCTGCCTGCCTGCCCCGGGGTGAGCTTGCTGCTCTCTTCCCCTGCCAGTGCCTTTACGCACAGCACAGTCATTGCTCGCAGATGGCAGAGCGGGGCAGCTCCCTCGCCGCTGCCCCTCTGTCTCCTCCCCAGTCTGGGCCCTGTGGTGGGGCCATGCCGGGCTGCAGCAGGGTGCTGAGCGCCGGCGGGATGATGCTCAGCACTGGCAGGAGCAGCTTTGGGCAGCCACAGCGAGGCAGCACCAGCCCTCCCGGTTATCACGCACAGCCCCTGGACCCGCTCTGGGGGAAGTTTGGGGTGCTGCCCACCCCCCCAGCGGGAGGACTCTGGCTGTAACGTGCTTCCCATCGGCTCATCCGTGAGCACAGAGGTTTCCTATAATTTTCTAAATAAAGCCTTTGACATTCCAGCCCCGCAGGCTCTCCCTGGAGCTGGGTGGGCTTTGGGGGGGTCCTGCCTCAGCCCTTGCCCTTCTCCCACCTGATGAGAGGGGATGGGGATGGGGATGGTGCCGGTCCCCCCACCTCTCGCTGCTGTTAGCCCTACACCCGTGGGGCTGGGGGCTGCCAAGGGTGCAACGGGCACTGGGGCTGTGTGACAAGCAGGTTTATTGTATAGTCCCGGTGCTCCCTGTGGCAAGCCGGCTGCTCCCCAGGGTCTGTGCCATGGGGCTGTGGTCGAGTATGGGGTGCTGGGCCGATGGTGGGTGGGGGTCCCCGCTCACCAGCAGAGCTGCCCGGGGCAGTACTTGTTGATCAGGGACTGGTAGTAGCCCCGGAGCTGCTGCATGTCGGGCAGCTCCTCCTGCTTGGTGTAGAGGTCGAACTTGCTGCAGGAGCGATGGTGGGTCAGTGCGGGGGCAAGGGGGCTGCTCCCCTTCGGGGGGCCTCGGCGAAGCCCCCCCCCCAGCCCCCCCTCTGCCCACCCTGGCCACGCACTTGAGCTCCCTGACCCAGGGCAGCATGCGGAGGTCCTCCTCGGTGCAGAGGTGCAGGTAGTCCCCGTGTGCGTGCCAGGGGTAGAAGGAGTGGAAGCGGACCATGTAGAAAGCCTGGGGGGACGAGGATGTGCCAACCCGGGGCACCCACTCTCCCCACGGTGGGTCTCTGCCCCACAGCCCTCGGGGGGGGGGGGGGGGGGCCCCCCC